GTTGTTTAAGACTGAAGAAAAACCAATATAAAAAATGTTGGTCTAAAACTTTAAAAATATACGAATACAGAATGTAGTTATAATAATCTAAGAAATTATATTTCAAAGAAAATATCTATCAATGTTAAATGTTTAATAATTCGAAGAACCATGCCCGTTTACAGGATCTAAAACTAATAATAAAGTTGTTCAACCGACTAGACAAAATGTGCTGCCAACTGGAGGACAAATCGTGAACCTTTCGGGGCGGAGTCAAAAATATCGATTATTTTCGTTATTTTCCTCAGAGTAATGTAATAATATAGCCCCGGGTTTCTGCGAACTTTAATAATGATCAGCTGATTAAGAAATTTAATCGAAACTTTCATTTTATTGTAAATTGTGGATTATTTTTTGCCTGTTATTTTAAAATTCTAAACCGTATTAACGAAAGAAATTATTATTTCGATATGTTGGTACATTATTTATAATTTATGATAATGCTAATTGCTGTTAATTAATATTTAAAAAAAAAAAGTTACATACCTATTTTAATTATTTAATGCAGGTTTATAAAAGAATCATTTCATTCTTAGATTATTTTATTCTAAATTAAGTGCATTATGAATTTTACGATATTTTTTTTTTTTGAAAACATAAAACTTTTTACATTTTTGATGCCAACTAATTGGCATGGTATTATTGGTATGGAAATTAGCCAAGGAAGAAAAGAATTGGCTATAACTTGTAATTTTTCGAAAAAAACATATTATACCTATATTGCTGAAAAGCTTAAAAAATTGCGCTTTTTATGAAGTCATGGCCAACTATGGTTTCCATTTAAAAAAAACATAATGTTTGTGTCATATGTCCAAAATGGCAGGCTTTAGAAAAAAAAACAGAAAACTCAAACTCATTAGGTATGTGATTATCTACAACTTTTATCTGAAAACTTTTTGTCTAAAATACCGTATGATCGAATAAAAACGGCGTCAGCGATAGCTATGAAATGACGATCGATGATATTTCCCATATAATTTTACATATAAAATGACAGCGATCTTCATTTCATAGCCATCGTGGACGCAGTTTTTATTCGATCATACGGTAGATTATAATGGAATTAGAGACAAGTTTTAAAATAGGCAAAATTTGTTTTTTTTTAAACATCTAGTAAGCCTTGAACTTCTCCGAAAAATCCGAAAGGCCCATATTTATGACCCCACAAAACTGCAATTCTTTCCCCATTTAACCGACTCTCTATCTTCAGTAGTTTCCGAGATACCCATAGAAAACATCGTAGGAAACTCACCCTGTATAGTATTTAGAAACTAACTATTATTATTATTTGACTAGATTAATTTGATTAATAAGACTCGATTAATTTAATTTAAAATAAATTTGATCAGATTTTTTTTCGTATATTCTACTACCAGAAAACCAAAATTATATGATAACGCACTTTTCAACGAAGTTGATGGAAAATATAGTGTATCTATCACAATACATAATATACTTACTACAATTAGAAGAAAAAGAAAAAGAAAAAATACCCGAATACCTTCACCTACTACTCATCTACAAAATAAACGAATATAATCTCTTATAAAAACACTACACAACTACTTCTTGTATTCTACACTGAAAAAATTATCAAACTTACTAATTAATCAAACAAAAAGAAAAAATAATCAAAGTATCCCTTCACCTACTACTTAACTACAAAATAATAAACTATAAAAACACTACTAAACTATTTCTGGTATTCTAAACTAAACATTATAATTAAACTTAATAAAATTAATCTAATTTTACATTACAACCACTACAACTACAAAGTAGTAAGAACATTTTTTAAAACTAGAAGAAACAGAACTTAGATACGTGCGACCAGTATAGTAGATCAAGCGGACAAAGAATATAAAATACTTTAAAAATGTGCATTCAGAAAGAAAAAATATCTCGAAAATTATCCAAACATTTTTTTTTTCTTATCAGTGAAAAGCATCGGCCTCGTCGGCCTTGCGGAATTTGTCGGGTATTTACAATGGTCGAATTGTATAATTAATTACCAGCTTTTATAGCATATCTAATAGACAAAAAGTATCTGGTCGATTAGTAACCAATTGGCACGGTCCGAAAATTATCGATTTTTTTCTCTGTTTTTATTGGTCGCTTCAAAATTCAGGGTAACAAAAAATATTTTTCTGTACTAAAAGACTGTGAAATACGCCCCGCCATCTGGTGCTTTACATCCATAAACGTCTTAGGTTGAGCTACTTTAAAAATTCATATACAAGGCTAATAATTAATTAATTTTGTCATGCATGTATAATCTCACCATGTTCATAGTAAACTTAATCCCAAAATGTATTTTAATATCTGTAAAACTAAACTTCTCTCTTCGAGATACACAACTAGACTGCCAATTAATAAATATTATTTTATTAAAACGTCCTTTTTTGATTTAGTGGGACCTTTAACCTTTTTATTGATAAAATTGTCATTTTTAGTAGTAAAAATTAACACATCCGTGACCTTTTGGGCTTGTTTACTCCCTGTAACGATATAATTACATGATGTAAGTCTGTGTTTATTTATATATTTCCAAGTTCATTTTGAAGTAGTTTAGTTTCGTACTGTCGTCTATACACACGACAATCGTGCTGTTTTTTAACTGTTATCAGTGGTGCAAGTGAGAGAAATGGATACAATAGTGAGTAATAACGTTTATTAAATGCAGAATATACATATAAGACATTAATTAGGTTTACCTATTAAACAAATAATATTTTACTCAGACACACCACAGGAAACTGCTACTCAAATACATCGATATTGGAAATATTCTGTTACATATTATTTACGTATAAGTGCTTTAAGTCGACAAATTAAACGAAAGTTAACCTTTGATTTAGCCTATTTTGATATATGAGTGTTTATCTCTGCTTTTACAAGATGTTTGACATTGTAAAACTCAATTGTTTTATAGCTCAGAACCGTAAGTAAAACGTCACAATATCAGCTGGTAAACTTAACAGATTTATTTTTCCATGTTTTCATTATTAATTTTAAGTTAAAGGGGTGCTTGTAGCTAGGTGGGTAAAGATATTTAGAAGCAATTACTAAAATTGGCGTATGGAGATTATAACTATCTATCTTCAACCAAAATATACATTTACTATTCTTCCAATGTTCGTAAATATTTATATATAAATTTGGGGATATTTCTCTGCTTCTGTTACTATTTCTATTTCTGTCCACATTATTTACATTGTATATTACTTCCAACATGATATGGAGTGACCAAAAATAACACTTTGCTCTCATAGAAGACTTCTACCACAACTTAATCAGTACCAGCTGTTCGTTTTCGCTTGTTTTTTAATATCCGTCATGTTTTTTAAACAAAACTGAAAACGGAGCTTAGAACTTGACTTGTTGTATAAGATAAACCAATATTAGGTAGGTATAGTATTTCCAAAGCTTTCCATTTGTTTGTTCAGACGATATCGACTTTATCGCCGACAAAGGCAATGCCAAAATTAAGATCCCCAAACCAGTACAACTAACATGGGAAATACTATAAGCAGATTTCCATGTAAATGATCTGAAGTCGACAGGCTGGTCATGAATAGACTGTGCTCTACTAGAGAGAACATAACTAATACAAACATATTTTTTATTGGTTATTACCGGTTTATTGGTTACATATTTTTATTTATTTAGTGTAAAATAGTTTTATGGACATTTCTCAAGAAATATCATGTATTTACTAGTATAAATTAAATATTGAAATATATTAATAGTCCCTCCAGACTTATACAAGGCTTATACATAGATAAATGGTAACTCAAGAAACGTTTCTAAACTTTAAACCAAGTTTCTTAAACCAAGAAACTGGCCTAAAACTTCACTAATTTTGACCAATTTAGAGATCTTCTGCTTGTATTCTTATGACTTGTAATAATGTTAATAAAACCTAATTTTGTCAATTAGCCCATTACGGCGATTGAACGTAATCTTCATTTGTCTATATTTACTTTGAGTTGCTTTTTATTTTTAATTTTTGTTGTTGGTGATAATTTCTTATTAATTTGTTAACAGCCATTATTTTTACCACAATTGAACGTAATCTTCATTTGTCTATATTTACTTTGAGTTGCTTTGTATTTTTAATTTTTCTTGTTGGTGATAATTTCTTATTAATTTGTTAACAGCCATTATTTTTAAATTACTAATATTAAATTTCCCAGAATAATGGAGAATTATTTAAGTGATGGTACTTTTCTTTAAAGTCGCAGCAATAAAACTGTAGCGACACAAACATTGGGTGCCGCCGCTACACTTACTCGATATTCTTTTGATTAAATCAGCATGTTACAAAAATAAATGGATTAAATATTATTAAACAATACCAAATAAATGAAATCGAAAAATGCCAAGTATTTTTGAGGGTATACAGAAGGTAGGTGTAGACTAGGACCATCATTATATCTAGATGCTGTGAGACTACAATTGAAAAATACCATTTATTTACAAAAATATTGAAATATATTATGAAGAATGTCTTTTTCACTGTCGTGAAAGTATACATTATTAATCCAAAGTTCTAAATATACTCAAAATAATACAGAATTCTTATTTGAATTCATATTTTCTGCTTTGAATTAAATTATTTTTAAGAAAATTAAATAAACTGATTTAATACGCACGAATAATTTATGTATGAATCTGTGTATGAAGTCCAATAATTAAATTGGGCACGTCTAATTTGTTTAATAACTTTTCAACAGTACATAAGTATTAATCTTTGTAATACTGTCATTAAAAAACTTTACATTAAGTATCATATTTTTAGGTTTTGTAAAATTTATTTATTCATTATGAATAATTTTTTTTAGTAAAAAGACAACAACAGTGGAACATTTCCAATGAATAATAACTAAAACTCATTCATTTTTAAAATATGTTCTCTTATCTAATAACCTTTCTGTATTAATATTGTGTTTCTATTTCAGAAAGAGCAGCTTCACATTATCAAATGGATACCAAAGAGGCCCTTTTGTCCCAGATATCCGAACCGGCCCATGGTTCTAGCAACAAAGTCACTGTCGTTGGTGTAGGCCAGGTGGGCATGGCCGCTGCATTCAGTATTTTATCTCAGGTAAAGGAAAAAATCTAAAGGCCTACTGACTAAATACAAATACTGAAATATCGTACTCAGTGGCGGTTCGTTCAATATTTTGGGGATGCAGAAACAATTTGTCACGCGACTACGCCCAAAAATATCTCAAATCGTCCAAGCTTGCAAATTAAAACATCTTGTTTTATTAAAAAAATTCACAGATTTTGTAACATGCGCAACCATCATAGGCGTATTGAAAATACCAGACACAAGTCGGCGGTTGTCGTCAATCACCTGTTTCTTTTACATTTTATATTAACTTGTGGCGTCATTTGGAAGAGCTCAATAGAAATATAAAAAAACTAAACCTTGTTTGTTGGAAAGCAATTTGACATTCGTGACGTCAGCACTCCGGCAGTCTAACGTAAACGTATCATTGATCGCTATTCAGAAATATATTCCAGATACGTATAGTGAACAAGTTTAACGTTCGCAACGTTAAATAATTTTGATATTTGATTTCTATCGTGATGGTTTTTTGTAAAAGTGAAGAATGTAGTGAGGAAGATATTAATAATGGAGATGAACGTGTGCGGATTCGTGAATGGTCACGATCGCGACACTATGACGGGCTCCTACCCACGTAGGAGCAAATACCTACCATACCAAAATAAGCAAAAAGGGGGTCAGTTTAGCTTAAGTTTAGATTATGTCTATATTTTTATTATGAAATATGCCATTTGTGGTTTTTTTATTGGATTTTTTTTGCATATTTGGTATATTCTATGAAGTGATTTTAAGTGCTCCTGACCATTTTTCAATTATTAAAGTGCCTATTTAGATATATTTAAAATGAATTAATTAGTGTATAGTATTTGTATTATGAGTTTGTTTATTTTTTATGAAATGAAAAATATTTTTCCCATTAAAATAAACATAGCTTACTAGATCACTAGCTAGCCATTTTTAAATACAGGGTGTTAATTAAGTATCTGGCCAAACTTCAGGAGGTAATTCTTTGAGCGTTTTAAGGTAAAAAGTTCATATAAACATGTGTCCGGAAATGTATAATTTTAAAGATACAGGGTGTCAAGGTGTTTTCTAATAGACCTTTTTTATTAATATCTCAAAGATCCTTTGGCCGATTTTTTTGAAATTTCGCCATGTTGTGAACTTTGTTAAGTTAGCACTAATTAAATGATAATTATTATTTACAACAATATTCAAAGGATACAAACTTATCCCAATAAATATTTGGCAACGCCTTGGATTTATTTGTATTTACGCCTGTTGGCGGTGGAAACCATGCAAGCTTTTTCTTTGTCCTAAGTTGTTAATTAAAAAAATAATAATCATAAAAAATATAGGTCCTAAAAGCCTAAATTTTAGCAAAATGTATCAGCAGATCCGATGAGACCCAAGTTATTATGTTTTGGAACTTAATGATTTAATTAATTATTCCCTTTAATTTACCTATCCTACGCGCCAAGAAAAAATATTGCGTTAGTCTAAATTTATTATTTATGTGATTCCGCTCTTTCACGTATAATTTGCCCCTTTCTTCTCATACGGAAAGAGTTAGATTAAAATAGCCAAACTGTACCTAACAACCCATATGCCTTGACGCATATTCTTTTTTATAATAATATGGGCTTTCTTTATCCGCCGGCCCGGACAAACATTCATATCCATAAAATAGTTGGCCCACTGATAAATTAATAAAACCTCATTTCGGCCCTCAAACGTCCTTGCTCTATTCGATGATCAACGCCGGCTAAACTATCGACTTACGTGTTGACAAGTTGATTAGGCAGGTTATTGAACTCGTGTGGCATCGAGCATGTAGTTTTTTCAAAGACGGGTCTCATATAAATGTGGCCAAATACGGCGTTGCTGATTAATTAGGAGCCCCTATATACAAGTGCCGTGGCTGGCCGTAGCGCAAGCAGTTAGTGGGATCTGGGGAGTGTAGATCTGGGGTTGTCGTTATTGCTTTCTTTTTGAAGCTTTGAAAGAAATGAACTAATCTCAAAGATTTAAATGTTATTAAAAATAAAAATCGTATACAGAAGGGTAAAAGGCCTTAACCCTACAAGTGTGCTAATTTCTTTTTATATTATATTTCTTATTTAAATATTATTAATTCAACTGTTAAAGCCACCCTAAACCTGCACAAAAATTTCCATTTTACGAATAGTTTTTGAAATTACTTTGCTTTGAGTTTCAACGTTACATATTCTTGTTTCGACATTACCTTTCGATTTCTAATGAAAATACATACCGATTCAGGAAACTGATTATTGTTAGACGTAGATATTAAGGATCAGAAGTAAATTGATTATATAAATCAATTTACCTCTGTAATCAATTTTCTTCAATTTACTAAGTATATACTTAAGTCTATTCGTGTTACTTAATGAGGGAGGAATGCGAAAAACAGAGCGAGAAGACACGGAATATCGAAAAAGATACAGATATGTGGTAGAAACACGTCCACATTTATTAGCACCAAAAATCATTTTCTTTTTAAGTAATCTATATGAGAATTAGCAAATAAATCCGACAAATAAAAAACCTTAATTCCATGATTATTGGAATTGTTGTCCTTATGTGCCAATCTATTATTAAAACTTGCACCATTTTCTATGGCATTTTCCATAATGTTTGACGATTTTACACCATGCAAAAGCCATCGATCAAAATAGTGATGGAGATATCTCAAAATTGTCAATATTTACTTTCAAAATTATCAATTAGACAGACGAGTGTAGCTGGATTACACGTGCGACCTTCACATCGGTCAATGACCATCTTTCATTGAATAATATCGGTTTATATGATTTTATATACTTATTTATCCGGGAGCTAAAATATAACAAGGAAATTATCTTTATTAGATGTGGGAACTATTGTTTCACATTGAGGTCTCTGGCGTGGAAATACTGACAGTAACTTGTGACTTAACAAACAGTGAGAGTTAAATATATAACAAGTGGGACTGTCTATTTCAAAAATATAAGAAACTCTAAAAAATTGCGGAAAATATCAGTTATATTTTTTCCAAATGGACAACTAATGGAAAACGTTTTTTCTTGTATAATTAATGAGGTTAGGTTAGGTTAGGCAGTTCATTTTATGCATACTAACCTATCAAATAATAACATATTGAGTGTTATTATTTGATAGGTTAGTATGGTATGCATAAAATGAACTGCCTTTATTTATTAAGATTTTCTTTTAAAGTTTATGATTAAATTATAGCAGATCTATAGTGGTCTTCTTCTAGTCCTTAGATTGCATCTCTCCAGTACCATCATCTTCAAAAACTCAACAACTTGAGGGCTGAACCCTCTATGTAGCTCTTTATCAATGATCTTCTTCTTCCTGTGCCTTAAGCTAGGTTGACACGGGTAGTGAACCACGATCGTGGCCCATACTTTCGTGGACCACGCCTCATGTCAACAGTAGATTCGTGAAAGAAGAATAGAAGCGAATCAATACGAAAGACACCACGATCGTGAATAAGCAAATCAAACGTGATAGATATTTCACGAACCAAATCGATAGTGAATAAGAAATCGCAGAGGAAGTTGAAGTAAAGAAGGCATATTTTGCACTATTCTCGCATTAGAAAATATTGATTGACTTCCGATTATAATTTTTGTTGCAAAAAAAAGTTCGAATGTATAATTGTTACATTTTTTTAATATACAGGGTTGTTCACCACATACGACACGGAGTATTGTAGCTAAACGATTAGATTTTTACAAATTGTAAGTTTTGGGTTCGTTAAAGGATTATTAGAGCTACAAGTTAAAAATATTTTTACAAGATACAGAGTGTCCCAACTAAGTATAAAATATTATAGTTGTATTTTTTTAAATGGAACTCCCTGTATATTATTCTATTTTTAGATTCTACCATTAAAATAAAGGTAAATTTGATTAAGGTTCATCATACTTAAACCTTACCGTTTTTGAAATATTTTCAATTTTATGAAATTGCAGTAAAAATTTTAAGGCTTTATTTCTCCAAGGGTATCAAAGTTTTTAATACTAAATATTTACTGAAGATTATTTATTGACCAGATATTGTGTTGCAATCATAAAAAATTTACTACCTTATACAGAGTGTCCAAAAATGTATATTAAATAATTACTAGCTTTAAACGGCAATAGCGTGTTTAATTTAAATGGAACACCCTATATATTTTGCGTGAATCAGATGCACAATGTAATTGTCTATCAAATTGTATTATACCATTTTTTACCTATCTCTTCAAGTTTTCGTAGAAAATGCATTTTCTTATAATTTAGACCTCATTTATCACTATACCCATGGAATATTGACATTTTAGATTATTTTTAAAGATGTAACAAATTTTCCAAGAGTACAGATACTAATATTGTGTTCATAAAAAAAAATAAAAAAACTGTTTAAATATTTTTGTTAAAAAGGACCAATTAATATAATCCCAGTATTCAGACTACATTAATTGACTGTTTATGTTGATTAATAATAATTGCTCCAAATACTAAAAAACTGAATTTTTGTGTGTATTAGACAGTGTGGTAAAAAGTAACGGCCTTATAAATTTTATTTCATTTTTTGACGAATGCTGATTTATAAAAACAGACGTTTATTTTCATAATTTATTATTATATTGATTTCTGAGCCAAATCCACATTTATTTAGAATACTTTATTAATTAAAACAATTTAAAAGTATGTAATTAACTAATTTTTGGTCGGAAATAATGATGGTATATTTAATTCGTATACTCTTTTATAAAGATTTAAATAGTTTTTTTGGTATACCAATAGGCTTGCAATATTTACACTTGTACATTTTCTGCATATATGTTGCTTAAAAAAAAATTGAAATCAATATTCCATGGGTATAGTGATAAATGAGGTCTAAATTATAAGAAAATGCATTTTCTACGAAAAGTTGTAGAGATAGGTAAAAAATGGTATAATAAAATTTGATAGACAATTAAATTGTGCATATGATTCACGTAAAATATACAGGGTGTTCCATTTAACTTAAACACGTTATTGCCGTTTAAAGCTAGTAATTATTTAATATAAATTTTTGGACACTCTGTATAAGGTAGTAAAATGTTTATTATTGCAACACAATATCTGATCAATAAATAATCTTCAGTAAATATTTAGTATTAAAAACGATACCGAGAAATGAAAACATTAAAATTTTTACTGCAATTTCTTAAAATTGAAAATATTTCAAAAACGGTAAGGTTTAAGTGTGATAAACCTTAATCATATTTACCTTTATTTTTCAATCGTAGAATCCAAAAATAGAATAATATACAGGGTGTTCCATTTAAAAAAATACAACTATGATATTTTTTTACTTATTTGGGACACTCTGTATCTTGGAAAATATTTTTAAATTGTAGCTCTAATAGTCTTTCAACGAACCCAAAACTTACAATTTGTAAAAATTTAATCGTTTAGCTACAATACTCCGTGTCGTATGTGGTGAACAACCCTGTATTTTAGTATATGATTATAAAAATTAACTTCAAATGCATAACAAAACCAACATTAAAATAAATATAAATTCAATTTTTATATACAGTAATGACTCGCAAGTAAATTAGAAACTGCGGCGACTTTTTAAAAGGTTAGGAAAAATTATAAAAAAAGATGGTAAAAATTAAAAAGAAAACCGCAGCGTACGGCTGCTCTTCGTCTGGTGAACAATAGGTGTAGGTTCATTTAATTATTTTTGCATATTGTTGGGCACCACTTAATTTAAGCCAAGTTAAGGTGATATTTAAAAAATTAAGAAAATTATCACAGGCTAAAGATGTTCAGTAATGATATATCTCAAATTAAAACAACAACATTTAATAAAAAACTATGTACATTTATTAATAATTAAATAACTCCAGTTTGAAACTTAATAAAATTAATATTATATTGATATAGCGAAACTTAAATTAAATATTACTAAATATAAATCATCAAACGTAATCGTTTGTTTAAGTTTCATCAAAAAAGAGGTTTCAATACGTCAATCATAATTGAGCCTTACCTTAGTAAGTTTCAGTAGAAAGTTAAGAAAAAGGCAAAAAGATTCTAAAGCAAAACGTAAATGAGTACTTAGCTTTTGCTCTGAAGCTGTAGTCAATCAGTGTTGATTTGGTGTCGTACTGGGGCCCATATCGATTACGTAACTGCTTCAAACCATCAGAAAACTTGTAAATTTGCGGAAAAAGGGAAAACTCGTCAATTTCACACCAGCCTCCAACAGGGAACCTTCACGGAACCATTCATAAAAACCAAAAACTGCTCAAAACTTCGGCTCAAAAAAAAAACTACTGCTAAATCTTCTTAAAAAACTCTTCCAAAATCTACTCCAAAAAAATTACTCCAAAAAACTCCCAAAATGTCAAATCTTCCCCTTAAGTTGGTAAGGAATACACTCGCAGGGCTATTCTCCGCCACATACGATGTACCAAAAAACTTTTCAAAGAAGACGAGAACCACCCTGGGGCTTCACCAGTAGTTGAAATGGAAGTGTCGAAAAATCCGAATAAAATGTTAAAATTCTGCCAACTTCAGGAAAGTTATTAATAACATTTAAAGAAAAATTTAAATAATAATATAAATGGCAACCCTGCACCACCAATAGTAAATATTTTACGTCTAAAGATATATTAATCAAGAGATATTGTCATGAATGCCACAATTAATTATTTTCACTCGTCTTTTAATGTCGTAATATTTGGCACATTAGTGTACAACTTTCCACGAAAAGAACTTTACAGAAGACTGGCAAGTTTGCCGTGTAAACAGCCTACGATCGCTGGACGATTTTCGTTTTTCACGAATGGCGTTTTGGTACTTTCGTAGCTCACTAAAGTGTGAGACACGATCGTGCTTCACTAGCCGTGTCAACCTAGAGCGAGAGAAGAGCTTAAAGAAGAGTTGTGATTGTTGCACGTTGGCGATTGTCTGTACTCTTCATATAATGTGTAGAGTGCCGTTTTCGGCTCTTCGAAATATGGTGGCTGCGTCGCGGATGTAACACCAATCCCGTATCTTTCTTTGCCAGGAATGTTGTTTTCTTCCTGGGCCTCGCCGTCCCTCTATTGTTCCTTGTAGAATTAGTTTAGGAATGTAATATTTGTCTTCTCTAAGGATATGGTCGAGGTAGGAAACTTTTCTTTCTTTAACTATATTAAGTATTTCTCTTTCATAGCTTGCCGTTCTTAAAACTTCTCCGTTGGTGGCATGTGCGGTCCATGGCACACGTAAGAGTCTCCGGAGAGTCCACATTTCGAAAGCCTCGATGCGATCAGGATTCTAGCCTTGAGAGACCACGTTTCTGCGCCGTATAGTAAGGTGTGCCATATGTAGCATTTTATTACCCGTAGTCAGTGTTAGCGGGAGACTGCGTGCTAATAGGAAGTTCTTAAGTTTGTAGGTCAATCAATGGTCTATCATTGCTTAATACAAAGAATCGCACATTTGCAAGGCTGTCGTACTGACATTAATTAAATGTGTGTCGTTTCTTCTTCAGATTGACAAAATCTACACATGCTTTGTCCGACAATCTTATTAGCTTTAAATGCTTACAATGCCCAGTTAGGCCCACGAACTTTGATAGTCTTTATATCTTTGCTTATATTTCTTGTCTATTAGATATCAAATTATCAGTAAAATCAAATAATATCTTTTATTTCAAATAATATCATAGATATTCTCTAGCTAGATATACAATACTTAGAAATAATAAAATTAATAAAATTTGTCCAACGATTCAAGATTTCGACAGACAAGATCCAAAAAATGACAAAAAGTTAAATTTGCCTGTCAACTAAAATGAGAAACACAACTGTCGCACTATCAGGGATCTTCCTGTTGGAAAGACTGTAAATAAAATATACATATTAATTTAGAGTATTTTGTTCTAGGGAGTTTCAAGTGATGTAGTACTAGTTGACGTGGTGGCAGACAAATTGAAAGGCGAAATGATGGATTTACAACATGGCGCCCTATTTTTGAAAAACGCTAGGATCACCGCTGACACAGACTATGCAGTTACTGCTGGCTCCAAACTGTGTGTCATAACAGCAGGTAATTAAGTTATAACAATACTTGTGACAATACTTTCATGGCGAACTTACTTGAGAAACTTTCTGGGAATAAGTACCTTTAAAAGACACTTTATTATCAAAATTTATATGTGTATTATGTAAATTATCACTCATTTTCACCCGATTCATTCAAAATTTACGGATATATATTTCTGAGTAGCTTATTGCTTATAAATAAATTTGTTCACCTATTAATATACTTAGTTATAGCGTTTCAAGGGGTACATCTTCTATTGTCGCGTGCCGTTGGATGCAAAAATATTCTAAAATATTTCAGTGAACTAGACAAACAGTGTACAAGTAAATAGAAACTGAAAAATTTGTATTGATATATTCTGAACTCAGTAGTAGCCTTGTAGTAGCTTTTACATAAATCAAATATTATGGTTTTGAAGTGTTTTGTTTTAGGGTTTATGTCCACAGAAAATTTTAGAATCATAGGTAAATATTTATTATGTTGCCAAATGTTATTTCACGTGATTATTTTTATTTTTTTGAATACTAAAAGGTTTTTGACTTGAATCTATTTTGTTCATCAGTTAAATCTATTTTTAGTTCATTCGAAGCGCCAAAATTTATCTGCTGTTTTCCTGTGTAAATACTAATGTTACGATTTGTTTTATCGTATTGGGTTAAAGTTATGTGTAATCTATGACAAACACTTACTTAATGGGTTTAATGATAACATAACAAATATCTTTTGTAAACGATGTTTGTTAATCAGTGGCGTATACAGCTGGTTGCTAAGTGGGAAAGGCGGTGAGTAACGAATTGAATTGGAACCAACGCAACCCGTTGGAATTATGAAAAATTTAGTACCCTAAAATCTAATAAAATATAGATAAATAAAAATAATTCTCTTCATTTTCATAGTAACCAAATCAAAGAGTAGATAAGACAAGAGACGACAGTTCGCGCGGTACCTTTCATGTTTGAGTGGTGGGGAGAGTGACCTCGTCTCGCTTGTCCCTTTAAATTTTCGTAACTTTTTCGCGGGAAATTTGAAATAGACTATTATTAAAACTTGCCTGTATAGCTTATAAATACCGTATGATCGAAAAAAAACGGCGTCCAGTTGGCTGGGAAATGAACATCGATGACATTTCTCATATAAAATGACAGCGATCTTCATTCCATAGCCATCGCTGACGCCGTTTTTTCTCGATCATACGGTAGTTACTGTATGGGTAAAGAAATAAATAGAAACGAAAAAAAATGAGTTTTCTAAATATTATATAAAATAAATTATAATTAGAAACATATTTGTCGGGGAATAAAGATAATAAAAGCAATATTTTGTATATCGTTGGTAAACAAGATAAAGTGACCAAGTCGATTTGTAAGAAGTGTTTTATTTACGTGTATTTTTTTTACATATGGACTTGAACAAGTGTAATATTACAATGAACACACAATAGATCTATAAGATCGCGGTGATTAACTCCATACTACAATATCACAATGTGGAGTTTATGTACAAAAAAACAGAGTTGCTCAATTTTTTTTGTAAAAATATATTACAAGCTTCTAACCATGTCTTCGATCTATGGATTACATTTAGTTTAATAACATAATTATATAATATATTTCTATAAAAATACTTTTCAGGATCCTTTGGAAACGAGTGAAATATTATGTTTGTCGAAGAATAAGACCTATTTTTGCAGTCTTTATAAGCACACACATTGCCACCATCTCGTCTTTTCCTGCTCTACTCGTGTCCTGTTCAGTATTCATATTTAACAATAATTACAAATTAGTACGCAACAAAAACGATACTAAAATTAAACCTTAAAAACTCTCAAAACGATAATATATTTTTTTTTATCGTTTATCTTTGAAATCGATCAATTTAGTCATTCTGTTTCTTTGATATTATCAGTAAATTACGAAAAAAGAACCTAAACCAACCTAAACTAAAAATTTACATTTCTGTATTAACATACGTTACTTATTATATTCTTCTTATATTATTAATTTATTTTCAGAAAATCTTGTTTATTTTTCAAAGAAATATACTTGGCAACAGACAAAATGGGACTTGATGGGACCTTTAAATTTTAATATATCTGCGTCTCTCTCGCGAAATTCGACTTCTTTGTTCACTGTCGTCTCTTGTCTTATCTACTCTTTGACCAAATCAAATATATTTAAGTACTCATAATAAAGTATCTGTATCTAGGACAGAAATACTGCATAGATTGGAATATACGGCATTCATCAACATACAGAAAATTACATACATCACCCTCAATATACGAAAATAGATATTTTTTATCACTCTGATGACATCTTTCACTCGCCATGGTAGTAGAATCATCAGCAAATGCCCATAACTTTCAACTCATATTGGTATATACCTACTTGGTATATATCAGTGGCGGCTCGTGGTTATTATTGTAGGGAGGTCAATATCTAAAAATATTGCGTCGATTTTTTTAAGATGCGACCAAATCTAATTGGTTTCTTACAAGGTACTTGTACGTTTAGATAAATGTAAGATTAATGAACCACCGAATATTGCAAGCGAGGGATTCCCAGAACTAGCCGACGCAACGTCAAAGTTTACAGAATAAAATATATTTTATTCTGTAAACTTTGGCAACGTAGAGGCGACGGAGTTTTGGGATAGGAGTGGCGACGACAGACGAATCGTGCGAAGCCAAGTAGCAAGACCGATGTCCTCTTACGCAATATATCAAGCTCTATTTTTATGAAGTATTATTAAATGGATTATTAGTATTTTCTTTAAGTAAAAGTTTAGGGCTCAAACTCACTGACGACCAGGTCGCAACGACCTGGCAGTCGGCTGGCCGGATGTATTGCGTTTTTAGCTGCGGCCAGATGAACGACCAGTTTCCACAGAGTTGTCAAATCTAACGATTTTTTACGTTTTACCAATTAGAAAATATTACTTCAGAAATGTTAAAATATCCGAGTTAACTAAAAAGCGAAGTTGCTATTCACAACAAACAAAAAGCATTGTGTACGCGCAACCGACAAAAAGAGAGATATTCTGTTTCTTTTTTCTACTGATCGCCCTTATCGACTTTAGAAGTAAACATATTAGGGCCATCGTAAAAAAAGATCGTCAGATACTGGCTCTAAATATAAGCAGGTAGAAAGTTTAGCTTCCAGTTATTTCAATGTTTACAATATAACGAAGAATCTACAAGAGTAATTACTTCTATTTTTATGAATGTTTAAGTTACTTTCTTAATTTTTTTTCAAAATAATGTACCTAGTAGAAATATAGTCTAATGAACCCTGTTTGAAAAACTTTAAATCAAATATAATATTTAAAATACAGTTGTCCTCCTTGTATGTACAGGGTGGGTCAAATTCGACACTTTTAAATGGAAACACCCTTTTCTATAGGAAATAGACGAAAACTAATATCGGTGTCTGGAGCTCAATTTTCATCAAAAACATGATGGTGAAAACCGCACATCAATATCTGTTACCGTTTCGGAGTTACGGGGTGTTTTTCAAAAATGTGCATTTTTAATAAATCGCTGTAACTTTTTGCTATGGAAAATTTTGTATTTCTATGAAAACATTTCCAAAGCACCTTTTTACGTAGAATTTAATGGTTTAAGTATAATTTTTTTAATTAATAATTTAAGAGTTATCAACAGAAAAATTGATTTTTTTGGGACGTCCTGTATATTTTTAATTAAATAAAAAGAACTTAAAATTACCCTTCCAAAAATATGACACACTTGATATTTTGTTATAATCTCCTTCGAAATACAGAATTTTTAAAAGTTCGCCCCTTTTAACTAGTAGGCTTTGGACGCTTTATTGATGACCTGCTCCTAACGGAACTCGAAAACATACTTTTCCAGCAAGACGAGGCACCGCCTCAGAACGCTGAAGTTATCAGCTAACTTTTTTAGCCAATTTCGAGAATAATTGATTAGCTAACCAACATCCCAACCGTTGGTCGTCGAGTGCCTATGGATTTGTATCTTTGCGAAAGAATAAAGGTTCTTATTTTTAAATTGCCTGTTTGAAGTAGACAAGAATTAGAAGTACTTAGCGGTTATGCGAGGGTATTTTTCACCCCCATTGAGTTAATGAATTCCGCGAGAAATGTTCAAAAACGGTCCCGTCTGTCCACAAAAGAAGACGGTCGACATATCAAACAACCAAAATCTAAAGTCTTGGTTTGATATTAATTTTTATTGTTATTAGATATAGTTTAAATGTGTTGATGTTGTTAAATGTAATATAAATTGTTATAAAATTCTGCATCTTCCATTGCAAATATTATTTTCGCCGCCGTTGAAAGCCTACTTATTCAAAGTGGGCGAATTAACACCTGTAGCAAAATCTCATGTCTTGGTTTGCTATTAATTTTTATTGTTATTAGATATAGTTTAAATGTATTGATGTTGTTAAATAAATATAGTTTAAATTGTTATAAAATTCTGAATCTCTCATTGCAAGTGTTCTATATTTTTGGAAAGGTAATTTTAAATTCTTTTCAATGAATTAAAATATACAGGCGGTCCCATAAAAAAAATCAAATTTTCTGTTGATAATTCTTAAATAATTATTAATTTTAAAAAAATTATACTTAAACCATTAAATTCTACGTAAAAAGGTGCTTTGGAAATGTTTTCATAGAAATACAAAAATTTTCATAGCAAAATAGTTACAGCGATTTGTTAAAAATGTACATTTTTGAAAAACATCCTGTAACTAATAAACGGTAACAGATATCGACGTGCTGTTTTCACCAACATGTTTTTGATAAAATTGAGCTACAGACACCGACATTAGTTTCGTCTATCTTCTATAGAAAAGGGTGTTTATTTTTCTATAGAAAAGGGTGTCCCTTTAAGAGCGTCCAATTTGACCCACCCTGTACAAGTAAACAGTAACTGAGAAATCTGTATTGATATAATTATTCTAAGCTAGTAGTAGCCTTGTAGTAGCTTTTACATAAATGAAATAGTTGTTTTAGGGGTTATG